AATTAATTCAAATTATAGCATTGTCTATATCCAAAGGCAAGTTTCTCCCTGCTTCTTCCTGAAAGAAATAAAGCTGGAGTTTGTTGCTTCTCTTGACAGGTTGTCAGTACTCACCCAGAGTTATAAAATCTTTCATGTTATCTTTTAGTGTATTTGTGAAAACAACATAGGCCTACCTTTTTTCTCTATTTTCATCCTGAGTGAATGGAATACGCATGGTAAGGGGCAGTAACATTCAGGACATACAGGACATCTTGGAACATGTCACTGCCACTCCACAGTTTCTTTCCCCAGTTAGGGACAAGGAGGGAGGCGTTTTCGTACATTCTCAGACTCTTTCCCCCAACTCCAGGCATAAAGTTTGGTTTTGTATGAATGATTTCAACTGTCTGGGAGCCTGAGGAACTGAGTTATCCTAAGGCAGAGTGGTTTTGAAATACCATATTCATTGTGTAGGTACATAACAGATATTTTGTTTTATTCCAGCAATACCAGTGTGATGTATGTGTCTTTATGCATAATCCCACAAGAATTACAGGTATCATGATGCTAGAGGATAGCGTGTGGGTCATACATGATCCATAACATACAAGAAAATGCCTAACAAGAAAGAGTGAAGCAAAGTTCCTGGTCCTGCAAAGCTAGCACCTATTATTTGTTTGCTCAAATGTAAATAACTATTGAGTTATTCAAAGCTCCTATGAAAACGAGGTCATTGCTTTTTTTTTTTTTTTTTACAGATTTACTTATCTATTTGAAAGTCAGAGTTACACACACACACACACACACACACACAGAGAGAGAGAGAGAGAGAGAGAGAGGTCTTCCATCTGCTGGTTTCCTCCCCAGTTGGCTGCAATGGCTGGAGCTGTGCCGATTTGAAGCCAGGAGCCAGGAATTTCCTCCAGGTCTTCCCATGCGGGTGCAGGGGCCCACAGACTTGGGCCATCCTCCTCTGTCCTGCCAGGCCACAGCAGAGATCTGGCTGAGAAGTGGAGCGGCCAGGTCTCGAACCTGGTGCCTATATGGGATGTCGGCACGCAGGCGATGGCTTTACCCGCTACTCCACAGTGCTGGCCCTGAGGTCATTGCTTCTTAAAGCATTCCATTATATATTGTGACCTGTGACCCAAAGTGTCTTTAATTTTAACTGGGACCACATAAGTAGCATCCAAATGAATGAGAGGAAAATGTAGATATGAAAAAATCAAGAATAAGAGTCTGATTTCCAGTACTCTACATATTTGTCCTAATGGACGTCAGTATGAAGAGCTGAGAGAGAGAGAGAGAGAGAGAGAAAGAATCTTCCATCCACTGGTTCACTCTGTAAATGACAACAGCCAACTAGGTGTGGCCAGGCTAAAGCCAGGACCTAGGAACTCCATCCTGATATCCTACATGGGTGGCAGGGACCCAGATACCTGGGCCATCTTCCACTGCTTTTCCAGGTGCACTAGCATGAAACAGGAATATGGATTGGAAGTGGAGCAGCCAGGAGTCAATCCCACACTCGGAAATGGTATGTCAGCACTGCAAGCAGCAGCTCAGGCAGCGGAGCCACAATAGGGGCACCTGAACTCATAATTATTGACTTACAACCCGTTTTATTTTGGTTTACCCCAAGATGTGCAGCCAATCTGAGCGCTCTATAGGGAATCATCCTTTTCCTCTTGCATATACTATATTTTTACTCCAATTTTCTGTTCATGTGCAGTCAAAAGAGATACAGACTTGAATTTCCATAAATGGAGCAAAGGCTCTTGCCTTTTGCATCAAGGACAAGCAGCTGCTGACATCCAGGAACTTCTCTGGCACTCAAGGCTAGACCATGTGCTCCTGTTGTGCATGGCTAATTTCACAGAATGTCAACATCAGACAAGGCTAACTCTGAGACCATAAAGTAATTCAAAGACTGTGCAAAGCCCAAAATACTGAACACCCTCCCTCTTGTCTAAAACGAGTAGTTGCTACTTAAAAAAAGAGAGATTTAGGCTCACTTTAATCATCCCTCCTAATAAGACATTTCTGGGTATTCAACCATAGACTTGTCCCTGCTTCTCAACAGTACTCAATCCCATACGGCTTCCTTTAGACCCTCCCTAAAATTATCCAACCAAATCCCAAATCAGGTTCTTTCTAATACCCTTTGCCTGAGATGCTCACCATTCTCTTCCAGGTGCATTTCCCCAGCTGCAATGAGTGACAGCTCCAGCTTTGGTCTTTGGCTGGAGGGCATTAACATCATCACCTGCAACACCTGAGGGCATTTCCTCCTCTTTACCCCACTACTAGTCCTTCTTTTTCCATACTAGAAATCCAGTCGGCTTTATACTAAAGGTCACCCTAACGTTAGTGACATTTGTCAGGTATTTGGTTTTTTTGGTTGATCTCAAAGCTTCCAGTGAGGATCAGAGATTTAGGTATGCTTTCTGTACTGGGAGCAACAAATAAACAAGCTCACAGTGCTGGTTGTCTTATGATTGAATGCCAACAACCTTATTAAGGTTGATTATTGGGGTTGATTCCAAGGCCACACAGACAGGAAGAGCAAAGAGAGAAACTTAAAAAAAAATAAAATAAAACACAAAGCTGGAATGGCCTCCCTCTTTGCTACTTACCTGGGTGAAAAGGGAAGACTTTATGGTTTCTTTTTCAGGTTCTTGGCTTCGGCTTAAAGCAGACATCTCATGGAAAGCAAGGATGGGCACAGATATGACCTGCTGTTTCTATGTGGTCCCTGGGCTACAAGATCTGTTCAAGAAGAGGTGGGGTCTTAGTTCTATGTCTCTGGGTACTCCCTGGTGACATATGTTTTTATATTGTATATTCTTTTTTTTTTTTTTTTTTTGACAGGCAGAGTGGACAGTGAGAGAGAGAGACAGAGAGAAAGGTCTTCCTTTTGCCGTTGGTTCACCCTCCAATGGCCACCGCGGCTGGCGCGCTGCGGCCGGCGCACTGCGCTGATCCAAAGCCAGGAGCCAGGTGCTTCTCCTGGTCTCCCATGCAGGTGCAGGGCCCAAGCACCTGGGCCATCCTCCACTGCACTCCCGGGCCACAGCAGAGAGCTGGCCTGGAAGAGGGACAACCGGGACAGAATCCGGTGCCCCGACTGGGACTAGAACCCGGTGTGCCAGCGCCGCAAGGCGGAGGATTAGCCTACTGAGCCATGATGCCGGCCCTATATTGTGTATTCTAGCATTTTGCCCACATCCCCCACACTTTGAGCACTATCTCAGACTTCACACTATACTGAATACTTTTGGCAGTCTATGTAAATGAATTTTATGTCAGAATTTAGGCAGTTCATGGAAACACACTTGTACTGCTTACATGCACATATTTCTTTTCTTTTTTAAAAAAGATTTATTTATTTGAAAGGCAGAGATACATAGGAGAGAGAGAGAGAGAAAGAAAGAATATTTTCCATCCACTGGTTCACTCCCTAAATGGTTGTAATGGCCGGAGCTGGGTTGATCTGAAGCCAGGAGCCAGGAGCTTCTTTTTGTCTGCCATTTGGGAGCAGGGGCCCAAGGACTTGGGCCATCTTCCACTGCTTTCTCAGGTGCATTAGCAGGGAGCTGGATCAGAAATGGAGCAGTTGGGATTTGAACCAGTGTCCATATGGGATGCCTGTGCTGCAGGTGGAGGTTTAACCTTCTACACCACAGTGCCAGCCCCAACATGTGCGTATTTCATAAGCAATTATTTGTGTTTGAGTTCCAAAAAAGTTCATATGAACAGTAGTAACATATTTGTATTAACATAAATCTTGGTTCCCAACATAGTCACCACAGACATCACTGTCAACACACAGCTCTTTTTATATATAAAGCTGGAGTTACATCACCTACCTTTATTCCCCCATTCATTTATTCCATTAATTTCTAAGATAATGAGTGCCTACAAAACACCCAATTTGAGGTTGGAATATTGACAATAACTGAAGATACAAATTTACTGCCTGGGTTTGGGTATTGGCTCCTCTCTTGATTCCAGGTTCCTGCAGATGTGTATCCTATAGGATAGCGGTGGTGATTGAGGTGGTTGGTTTCCGGCCAACCATGTGGAGGACCTGGATTGAGTATGCAGCTCCCAGCTTTGGCCTGGTCCAGATCCGGCCATTGTGAACATTTGGGGAGTGAACCAGTGGATGGCAGTTCTGGCTGTCTGCCTCTCAAATACCTTGTTAATTAAAACTTATTAAAGTTACCAAATGATTAAGAGTATAGGAAACTTATAGTCCCATATGGTCTTGGAAATATTTCCCAGAATATGGGCAAATATCTTAGGCTTTTTGGAAAAAAATATAGTTGTCAATCATCATCTGATGCTCTGTTGGGTGTTCCTTCATTTAACAAACATTGAAAACCTCCTAGACAGTAAACATATCATAAGACATTATTAATGGCTGGTGCCGTGGCTCAATAGGCTAATCCTCCGCCTTGTGGTGCCGGCACACTGGGTTCTAGTCCTGGTCGGGGCACCGGATTCTGTCCTGGTTGCCCCTCTTCCAGGCTGGTTCTCTGCTGTGGCCCGGGAGTGCAGTGGAGGATGGCCCAAGTGCTTGGGCCCTGCACCTGCATGGGAGACCAGGATAAGTACCTGGCTCCTGGCTTTGGATCAGCGCGGTGCGCCGGCCACAGCACACCGGCTGCAGCACACAGGCCGCGGTGGCCATTGGAGGGTGACCCAATGGCAAAAAGGAGGACCTTTCTCTCTCTCTCTCTCACTGTCCACTCTGTCAAAAAAAAAAAAAAAAAGGCATTATTAAGAGACCAACGGTAGTGGGTTTTGCCTGTTTCTTTTTTTTAATGTAACAGCTATAAAAACAAGAGAAGGTGAAGTGTGCTTGGAAGATGTGTTGTGTGGGTAGAACTAGAGAGTAATGGGGATGTAACAATGAGCCAAGACACATCAGCTGGATCCTAATACATGAGGACCCTGCAAGCAATGTCAAGGTGTTGTTTTTATTGCATCTTAGTCAATGTGAAGTCACTGAAGGATTTTTATTTGATTTTATTAAAAATTTTTCAAAGTAATACATGCACAAGGTAAAAAAATTAAATAGTACAGAAGAACTTAAAATGAAAACACAGTTTCCCACCCCAAACTTCTTTTACCTAGTCCCATTCTCTAGAGGCAATTCTTTTAACAATATCTATTTTTAGAACTTCTGGTAAATAACTTCCTAAATTTAAATAACATGTTTGAACAACAATTTCTTCCATTAACTTTAGACACTCTTTAATAATTTCCCAATACAAAAGATAAGGATTTAACTTACAGTATCCCCACCTTTCATTTGCTATTGTTCTTGAAATGTTTTATAGATGTGTCATTTTTAATACTTACATTGGCTTAATTTTTAGCTTTGAGTATCACACTAATTAATAGTTGTTTTATTAATTGAAGACCTTATCTGTCATCCCCATTTTGGATGCATAAGTAGTACAATTCTTCTTTCCATCGCTGTTCCCACAACTGATTCTCAACTTCTTGATTTCATTGTTCCTTAACTTGTCAGCATTACTTACTTACAACTTCATATATGAATAAAAAACTAAGCCTTTCATGTTTGTTGATAGGCTGGTCAGAACACAGAATAAATGTCATGTACATCATTTTGGCAATGTAAATACTTTTTAATGACCGTCAGGTAGCAGTTAGGATATTTTCTTCTCTACACACACAGTATTGTGATGCCTATACCATGGGAGGGGAATTTTACCCACTGCCAGTGACCAGCTGAGTTTCTTCTTACATTCCATAGCAAATCAAAATCACAGCTCATTTTATTTTGCTTCATAATTGGACCTGAATTTCTTGACATAGCTTTGATTTGTCTTTCTTATTGACAAAGAATGGGGGTCCTCCTTATTCTCTAATATTGCGACTTCTCAGTGATAGTATTCATGGCAGAGAATGCCGTTGCCTGGAGAGCCCGAGACTGTATGCTTTCATCCCAAAAGGATCTGCTGGATAACTGTCTGCAGTGAGATCTCTTTATGGAAAACTCACTCTACAGTGAGACATTCAGGGGGATGCCCATTGTTTTCTGAATGCCATTTCTTCCTCATTTTGGGTTTTAATCCCCATTTTGCTGAACTTCTTCAAGGTACTTCCTCAGAAAGGGTGCACAAAGGGGTAGACTTTGCAAAAACATTTTGCATCAGAAAATGTCTTTATTTTAATGGTGCTCTTGACTGTTGGTCTTGCTGTGGAATTCTGGGTACAAAAAATTTCCATAAACTATGTTGGAGACATTGCTCCACTAACTACTAGCATTCAGTGTTGTTGATGAAAAAACTGCTGCCAGTATTTTTCTCATTTCTTTTTAGTTGACACAATTATGACGATCTGATGTACTTTCCCCTCCCCACCAGTTGTCACTTATATACCTCCCCTCTATCTTTAATATTTCCAAATTTTCCAAGATTGTATTAAGATATAGATTAAATTGGGCCCTCTCAGTCTGAAACCTTCATTTGTTCTGTTCTCCAATTTTTTCTTTATATTTCCTTATATGTTTTCTAAATTCTGTCTTCTAGAAACTCCTAAAAAAGGACACTGATTTGATTGTCTATAACTTTTTTTCTTTTCTTCATAGTTTTTTTTTCTTTAGAGGGGGTGCTTTATATTTTGGGAGATTTCCTTAACTTTATTTTCTAGCTTGTCTACTGAATACACTTGGAAATATTATTTCATTTTCAGAGAGTTATTCTCAGAATTCTTTTCTTTGTAGTATCTTGCTTTCATCTTAGAAACACAACTCTAACTTCTCTGAAGGTACAGCTAAATTTTCAAATTGTTTTTCCCACAGTAACTTTATTTCCTCCAGAATTTGCAATATTTTTCAAATCTCCCAATTCTACCTATTTATTTATCATATGCTTCTACCCTGTTCTTCACTCCCCACTCCCAGGTCTGGAATTTCCCACACTTAAGAATGCACTTAACCGCTTATAGGAGCTTATAGGAGTTGGTATGCATTTCCTCTGCTCTTGTATGAAGAAGGCTGTTTCCCTAGGTCTTCTGTGTACTGGAGTAGGGCGTCTGAATTGTCAGTAAAGAATTGGCTGACAGGTTAGGGGGACCCACCTATTTCAACAAAAGAGGAATTTACTCTTGAGTATTAACTCTCACTTTCCCTTAGGTGGTTTATTCAATTTCTTTATACAAACAACAACAACAAAAACAACAAAATTTTTACTGGTATCAACAAGTTACCTGTGTTTTGTGCACAAGGGTGGGAGCAGAGTAAGATGGGGTTCAATTATACAACTGGAATAATTCTTTAGTAGATAGATTTTTCAGGTGCCCAAGTCTCTTTGGGATTGTGTTGTTCAGATCAGCTAACATTCTGTCTGAAAGGTATCTTCACTCTTTTATTCATAATCCTGCTTTATCCACTTTCTCTCTTCCAGAAATGTGTTGAGATCTCCACTTACAACCAAATCCCTTCAGTTTTCATTGCTGTGATGTGTCAATTCCATTTCTCACTTCTTGACTTCAATTTCAGTGGGGCCTGGAGGAAGAGGAGAGGTTAACTTGTATGTTTAGTCTCTCACTTTAAATTGGAAGTCTCACTGGAGAATTTTACGTAAGGAACATGTATAACTTCCTATTTTTTAAAAATTCCCAGGTTGTACTGATAAAAGGTGGATCAACAAGGACAAGACTGGATACAAGTATTATAAAAGACTGAAAACCTAATTTCTTCTCTAGAATATGGAGTGTTTGGTATTTTGGGAATCAGATACTTTACCAAAACACCCCATCTTTCAGAATCCACTAAGCTAGAGAATGCTTTCATTGTGCCCTAGAAAGACAGAACCCTGAGGAACTCAGAGCCTAACGGATGACTGATGCAACAGTCCCCACCCCAGCATCACCTACTGGGAAGCACTTCAGAAACCTTCCTTACGTTCTACTTTGATCTGACATTGAAAATAAACAGAGGAACTTTTTGGTCCTGATAAAACAGATTAGGGGTAAGAATAAGCAGCCAATGGCAAGTAGGAACATAAAGGCCTTCTATTTGCTTGTTGTTATTTTTATTTACACATTCATTTGGACATCCAAAACACTGTGGTTAAGAACTCCAATTCTATCATAAGAATACCTGGGTTCAAATTGCAGTTCTACCACCTATTAGCAATAAAGCTTTAGATAATCTACTTAATTTCCATAAAATTCAATTCTCTCATACACAAAATGGGAGTGACTACTGTTTCCATCTCAGAAGATTAATGTGAAGATTAAATGAAGACTAAATATATATATAGAAACCAGTAGAATACCTGGTACATACTCAACATCCTGTAGTTGATACTGATTTTTTAAATAATGAGCAAATTTTTAGTACCCATGTCCAAAGAACCTAGACAATATAAATTCATTAAATAAGAGAAAATAATTCTAGGATTGAGAAATTACAGAGTAAATAAATCCAAAGAAAAACATTATATGGCACAAATCTTTCTGTGTACCATGCACGCAATTAGCAAGTAAGCAAGTAAAATGGTGTACTGAAGTACATGAAAAGCAGTGAATTAAAGGAAAATTGCCTTGATAACCACAACATCCATCCTACAGACCCAACTCTAGTTAAAAGTACAAAGAAATGGAATAACACCAGAAGAAAACTTAAGAGACTATTTGAATGTATGGCAATTTAATGAAGTTTGGGTCAGCTCTATACAGTTGTCTTGCTTCAATATAGTTATTTGTATGTGTGTGGACTTTGTCTGCCAGCCTTGTAAACAACTCTTGATGGTGATTATGTCACAAATCTGCTACCACAAAAATATAAACCTCATCACAAAGTTGGGTGCTTGCTGTTTGTTAAAGACAATCACCATCATGAAATTGTTCCGGTCAAGATGTCCACTCTTAATCTAATCAGAGAAGGAATTTGACCTAAAATATAGACCTGGTAAAAAGGCCAAGGCCCAAATTGCTTTACAGTTTGAATTCTGAGTCCTATTTTCAGATCAGAAATCACCGCATCAGAATTCTTTCAGGGATGAGTGCCTCAAGTGTAGCTTGGAACAGATTTAACAACAACTGCATTTGTAAATGCCATCTAAAATAAAGTCTAGCTCAAAAATCATATTGAGTTAATCAGATAACAGTAGTGGCAGACGACATTTTCTTGACACCTAGTAACTCCCAGGTACTGTTCTAATCACTATTAGAGGTAATATAAAATTTAATCCTCACATTTAATCCTACAAAGTAGATAAGGAAACTGAGTCACAGGGCAGTTAAGAAAAATGTCAGGCTCTGACAAGTAATAGGTGAAAGAATCAGGATTTGGATGTAGGGAGACTATTAGCAGATCTAACGCACAAGGAAAGGGAAAAGAATGGAAAGAAGTTAGCTCAGTTTTCTGTGGGCCAGTATCAACAAAAATATTCCCTGGGTGGAATGCACTGCATAGTTCACCAACTTCTCTAGAATTATCAACTGAATCTTGAAGACAACTCTGTGAGGTAGGTATTTTTGTCTGCATTTCACAAACAAGAAAATGGGAGTAGAGAAACAAAATGATTCAGGAGCTATAACCCTAGTTCTGGGCTCTTCCCAACATGCAAGACTGCTTTTTAAGTGCTTTTGAAAAGTACCAAAGAAACAAAACTATGAGTTATCAGGGAGCTTTCTGGTCAACATGGTAAATTTCTATTGAGTTCTTGGCTTAGGTTTTTGGAAAAACCAATCAAAACTAAAAGCTCAGAGAGAGCTCTTAGGTCATCAAAATTAGAACTATGCTCCATAGGCTATGGCCAATAATGATGAACCCAGGGACTGCTATAGAAACAGGTGCCCAGGATCTTAGACCTGGGCCGATACAGGAATCTGATAGCTGAAAGAAAGGGGAACAAGATTCATAAACAGAAGGGCTTTGTTCCTGGGAAATTCTGACTCCACTTTTTGTGGTATTCTTAACCCACTTCTGGAGATGGACGTCGATAACACAATGCAGGGGCATGAACTAACAGGACAAGGTCAGAACCCTAGAGGACAGAGGCAGAGGAGTGAATCCCCACCTCTGCCTACCTCCCCAAACCTCTCTACCTGCCACCTCGATGGGCACTCCTTACATCTGTGTGAGGAGGTACAATTTCATAATATTTTCCTTCCATTCAGGCAGATAGGCCAGGCTGGTAGCCACTTCTTTCTGGATGGGCCAGGCCCAGGCCTCAAAGAATGGAGCCAGGTTCTTCTGCACTTGGTGGGAGAACATCTTGACCCACAGATTCATTTTGTCAACATTGTCTGTGGGCAAGTTGGTCTGGTTCCTATACTCAGTGAACAGACGGATGAATGGCTCCCAGCCAAAGGCTTCCTGTAGCTGGAAAGAGAAAGAAGGGGCAGAATGAGACTTTTAACATATAAAACAAGGGTTCATCAAACACCCGAAGTGGACTGAAAGTAAATCCCTTAAAAGTTAGCTTCACATCACTGATCTTTCCTCTGTTTTTGCCTGCAAATCTTATGCCATAGCCCTCCATTTTCTAGTCAAAGGAAGGAATTCAGGGTTAGTCCAGGGCTTGCCACAAAGCAGAGTCAATTAGTGATGGCTGGGGTAATCACTGACTTGATTAATATCAATCTTTACTACTGATGTTATTATTCATATAGTTCATGGGAAACTATACAAGGACTCAAAGTTGCCTGCTGTGGTACAATCCTTGAACAGTTGCGAAGTGAAACCCCAATAACTGGGAAACTCCCACTCCTATCCTGACAACAAAACCTCTTTAATCACAAGTCTGTCAATTTACAAGGATGCTATAAATGGGCTTTGGGGAAAAAACTGAGTCAGGTAGAAGTGGACTTTAGATAGTCCAGGTAACTAACAGTAAAGGTTGTGATTTTAAAAAGAAGCAGCCATCCTGGAGATAGATGCTGGTGGCCACTGTTGCAAGAACTTCTGAGTTGTGAGACACCTGAGGAGGTTCTTAGACTACTCCCAAGTTTATTTCATTGACGAAGAACATCTTTTCCTTGGGGCAAAGCAGCTCCAATGACAAGGTTAAAACAGAGCTTTCCTTGCTACGTCCCACCATTCTCATGGCAGTGGGAATGAGCAGAGGCACTCAGCAGGTAGAAGAACCTGCATATAGCATTTGTGGCCTGAGACTGAGTTCCGGAGCTCGAGGTGCTGACTCTCCACAGCAAGCTGGGAAATGACCCAGTCACTGCAGAGAGGGAACTACGGCATCAAACAGTACTGCAAAGGCAAAGGTAACCTTCATGCCAGGGCACTGAGGGGTCTTGGATTCCCTGCAAAGGTAGAATTTGAGGCACAGCTAAGTCATACTGAAGAGACAGGCTGCTCAGTTAAGGAAAAAATGGGTCATATCCCATGTTTTATGTGTGTATGATTGCTTGATTTTTAGATAGCTATTAAGTAGGAGAGTCTGACTTTACAGCCAGACTTCTTAAGTATATTTATAGCACTAGGTTTGCCTCTGCCAAGTTTAAATTTTCTCAGTGTTTTCTATCTACTCTCTTGTATCTCTAAGCTGTGGAAGGTGAGGCTAAGGCTATTTATTGTATATGCTTTAGAGTCATGCAAAACAATGCACTGAGAGGCATCATCAAATAGGACTGTCACGACTGGACTCAGCCAGGACTGGGCCAGGATGGCCCAGTGCAGGAGACAGACGCAGTGGGGGCCCCTTTTGGATGACCAGAATATCATCTAACAGTGTGGCCTTAGGGGTCCCTGCAGGGGTCTCCAATCACCCTTTGCCCAGTACCTGCAGATATGTTTCCAGGGCAGTCCATGCATTCCAGTTTTTCACATTAGGTCCCTTGCTCAGGTAGATTCGGACTCTCTTTTCCCGAACTGGGGGCCACAGGGCAATGTTGGCACGGCCTCGAGGAATGCCCAAGACTGTTTCATGCACGTAAACACACCACAGGTTGCAGGTGGCTTCGGTGGTGTGTGGTGGGAATTCCCATTCCTGTCGCTGCTGGTTGCGGCCCAGCTCATGGACAGGGCCCCACAGCCCCTTGGTTCTGATGAGCTTCTCATTGATGAGCTCCTGCACGGACTCCAGATGGCACATGATGGGGTATCCTGCATGCATCCAGCCTGGAAAATGCAGGGGGTAGAAGAGAGGGCTGAGATCCTCCCCACTTTTCTCACAAAGTTCATCTCTGTATTATTTCTCTTCCAAAATACCCAGGTACCTTTTTAATCCCCATTTCACACACAAGAAAACGGGAGTACAGAGAAAAAATGACTTTCTCAAGAGTTAACCGTATGGTCACAGGGGCCTATAATTATCACAAGGACAATACAAAGCAGGATCATTCTAGGGCTTGCTACTTACTCTCCCCTTTCGTAACAATGCCTTTATCTTCACTCTGACCTGAAGAAACATGGCTGTAGGAGGAGAAGCAGGTTACAGCCATCCATACCACTATTTTATCTTGTTTCTGTGATGGTACCTATCCACACCAACCTATGTCATATCCTTTCTCAATATCTAGAGCTTTTTGAGTGTGGCTCCGTCTCATTATCTAGACATGGAATTGCTTATACTGACACAATCATCTTTGAAAGCCAAGACAATGAGGGTCTAGTGAATTCTCTGTGGTTCTTGAATGTCTATATTCCCAATTTTTAGGCTGCTTGAGTTAGGCAATGACCTCTACTCAGTGGCTTCTCAAGGTAGTAAAATTGTCTCTCCCAGTAACTCTGACCTAAGTTGAAGTCCTCTACCATCTTTACCAACACTCCTTCAAGTCCCCAGAGTGACATCCGAAATCTCAGCTGACATCTCTTGATGTCTTTGATGACACTCCTTGACATGCTGATTTAAATTGTTCTTTTTTTTTTATTTTAAAGGCAGAGAGAGAGAGGGAGAGAGAGAGAGAGAAAGGGAGAGAAAGAAACATAGAGAAATAGAGACAGAGAGAGACAGACAAAGAGAGATCTTCCATCTTCTGGTTCACTCTTCAAATGGCCACAATGGCCAGATCTGGGCCAATCTGAAGCCAGGAGCTTCTGGGTCTCCCACATGGGTGCTGGGGTCCAAGCACATGGTCCCTCTTCCGTTGATTTCCCAGGTGCACTATCAGGGAGTTGGATTGGAAAGCAGAGCAGCTGGTACTCAAACCAGCACCCATGTGGGATGGGTGCTTAACCAGTGACACCACAACACAGGCCCCCTTTATTTCTTATTTACATTGTTTCCTTTCCATTTGGATAGAAAAGATTCCATCTATGCTTGGCTAGTACAACATTTTTACCCTGCTGGCTGTCCACATGTAGTTGTTGAGCATTAAACAGAAGGCAGGTAGAGGCAAAAGGCACAGATGGCTCGCTCAGAGCACCCACCGACAGATATCTGCACATCAGCTACAATCCTCTGAGGCAGACGCAGAGGGAAGGGCTCAGCTCCCAGTCGTGCCACAGCCTGCATCACCTCGTCCCAGAGGCGGAGCAGTGGCTCAGGGTTCTCCAGAGTGCGAAGATTCGCAGTTGGCACCGTCAGGATGATATTGTCTGTGGCCAGCTCTCCCCAGGGGCCTGGGTTCTCCTGGATACGCCTCTTCCACTCCTCCTGGGATGTCTCCCCTAGGAAGAGAGACCAAGTGGGCTTGAAACACATCTTCCTGAATCCCTAAAGCTAAAACATACAGCTTGGACTCTCCCAGGAGAAAAGTGGCAAGATCATGACCATGAACAACCAGTCCTTCTATGGATGTGATTTGCTCTGATGCTGTAGTCAAGGAAGCCCACCTGCCTTCCCTCTGCTAGTCCATGTCTCTCTCCCCCTATAGCAGTCACCTCCTATCCCTGCTCCACTCTTTCCCTCAGGGTGCATCCATGGTTTCCACTCACCCAGCTTGTAGTATGGAGCATGCACAGCCCCCTTAACGGTGATGGGCACAGAACCCAGTTTGCTGCTCTGAGGCACGATGATATAGAGGAGGCCACCCCAAAGGCAGGTGATGGATTTCGTGGGTTTGTCCAAGCAGCACCGGTTAATCACAAGTGGGCCTCGGAACAGCTTGCTGGCCCTTGTGAGGTCATCGGTGTGACAGCCGATCTGTATCTGGAGCAGAGAGATCCCCACAGAGTCAGCACGGACCATGAGTGGGTGGAAGAAAACAGCCCAGGATGTGAGCACTCAGGAAGGGGCCATTAGGCAATGGCCCCATGCATGCCCAGCCTTCCCATCATTGATCAAATGCAGGTGTTAAACCCATTAACTTGCAGCATTTCTCCTGGTCACATGGCACAAACTATGTGTGAATATTCTCCCAAGGATTCAAAAACCTTCACAGTGGGTCATGTTGAGACACTAACATGATGAGCACCAGGTGTAACCCATCAGGCTAATTCTATGTGGGCTCAGCTCCCACAAATGGTCCCTTGGTGTCTGTCTATCTGTCTGTCTCTCTCTCCCCCTCCCTCCCTCTCCCATTCTCTCCCTCTCTCTCCTTCCCCTTCTTGCTGTCTCTTTCTCAGAGAGGTGAAGTTAGAGAGAGGGAAAGAGCCAGATAGGCAGAGATCTCCCTTCCACTGGCTTACTCCCCAGATGGCTGCATGGCTGGAGCTGGGCAAGCACTGGGGCGAGGCTCTGGGAACAATCTAGATCTCCCATGTGCTGGCAGGAACTCAGCTACTAGAGTCATCACTGCTGCCTCCTAAGGTCTGCACTGACATGAGGCTGAATCAGGAGGCAAAGGTGGGAACTGAACACAGACACTCCAGGGTGAGGCACAGGCCTCTCAACCGCTAGGCCAAAACCCCACTTCCCCCAAGTATCTCTTAGCACCCAGATTTATCGGTTACTTTTTCTGTAATGGTGATGCTGCATTTTGCTAGTTAGGGAGGGGGCCCAGCGTGAGGCAGTGTGATCTGGCTGATACAGTGGAGGGCTGATTCAGCTCCTTCCCTTTCTCAAGCTCCCCTTCCTGGGCAAGCTGAATGAATCATCTACCTGGTAGTTCTGGGACTGCCTGCCTTGGCTTTTTTCCAAACAAGTTCCAGGACAGATAAAGGCACAGAACAGATCCTCACCATCTCAAGGGCCCTCAAGAAGGTTAGAGCAGGAAGACTAATTTTTTACATGAGGATTGTATATGTGGGATGACAGAGTAGAGATGGACTGAGAATTAAGGACAGTATTTGGTGTCACAGGGAAGAAACTAGAGTCAGAAACACTTTGTGGGACCGTGGGAAAGGTGGATGGGGAGGGACATGAACTAAGATTTACTGGATACCAACTGTGTACCAGGGGACCTTCTATTTGGTATCTTTTTTGGTTCTTACTCTATGACTTAGGTCAAAAGCACAAAACTTAAGAGCCAGAAGCTGGATTAGGTTTGAGTTCTAGACTCTAACTTGTCTTGGTCCCATACAAGTAAATAAATCATTAGCTTTTTAGTACATTGCCTCATCCTTAAAATAGAAGCAAAGCACCTGCCTCCTATTGACAGTATATTTTGTGAGAACCAAATGAGCTACCAACTGTGAAGGCAATAGAATCTGGGTTCTATGTTAGGGGGAGACTGGGGCATGGCCTCACCTTCAGGTCAGCAGAGGCAGCAGCTTCAGGTAGTGAGACTTCTATGATTTGCCTTGCGGGTATGTACAGCCCAGTACTCATCCAGCAGTATCTGGTTCCTGCCAAAAGCACAGACGCGTGGGCTGCATCACTGCTTCTTGACTGCATCCCACCCAGTGTTTCCACATACCCATCGTGAGCTCTGCCCCTCTGTTCTCCTCCAGGCTGCCCTCACTACGGTCTTCCAAACAGCACTTACAATCCCACCCTCTGTCTTCTCTGTAGCAGGAGACAAAGGATGGAGGTGGCCCTCTGGAGGTGGTCAGATGCCACCAATTAACTGCTGTGGTCACCATGCCCTGCTCCACCAGTCCCCATAACACTGGGCTCTCACCCCTCATTCCTCACCTGGGTTGGTACAGTTGACCTCAACGGTGATAGGAGATTCCGAAGGGCGCAGATAGGGGCTGCTGTACATATCCTCAATTTCCGGGACTAACAGAGAGAGGTCACTTCCAGAGTGGGCCAGACCCGTGGCCAGGGAAAGCATCGCACCCCTGCAGCAGTCATTGATAACGGGGTTCTCTCGGGTCGCCACAGGGAGCCGATAGCGACTTAGCAGTTTCCTCAGGAGTCGATGCACGGACATATATGCAGGGGTCTCTTCTGCGGGAATCTGGAGGAAAGCTGCACCGTCTGGTCCCAGCTTTGCCAGCCAACCCTTTTCCACATTCCCTCGCTTCCTGCCCATGATAACCTGGAACTCAGCCAGAGTCGAGCGGAAATGGTAGGTCCTGATGCCAGCTTTAGGAGTACGGAAGGGCCCTGGGTTGAGGCTTTGGCTTGTGATGCTGATGCCAAAGGGGTTGAGGAGGAGGTTTCCTGGGAACCGGGCCAGAGGAGACACTCCCGGGTTCTTGAAGGCCCACCACCAGGCTTGCGCTCCAACGAACAGCCCGCCACCCTCTGCTACAAACTCCTGCAGCTCTTTGACCCCCACTTCACTCGTGGGTTCAAAGCAATAGACACTGGCATCACTGGTCAGATGGGGCTCAATGCTGGTGTCTATGCCGCCCACTGCGAGTAAGCCGCTCAGTGTTCTCAGCTCTGTCTGCACCACAATCTTGCCTCTGCGTCCCCCATCCAGCCACCGGACAGCGTTGAGCAGAAAGGGGCCCAGTTTGCCAACGGTGAATAATACCTTATGGCCAGTGACTACCACCCGGCCCCGGCCATAGCGGGCAGCCGCTATAACACAGCCATGGTAGGAATCTAACCCCAGAGGAAAGGCTAAAGCCCCATGCACTAGCAGCTGGGATGGGAAACAATCCGAGTTGCTGATGTCCAGCTCCGAAATCCCGTGCAGGAGCTCCTCTCTGTCCTCGGAGAGGTCATCTTCACAGCTGCAAAAGACACACACATTCTCTGTTAGAAGAACGGCTCTTAGAGCAGTGCCCCGCAAGCAAGTGCGATCAATCGAAGTGTCAGCTTTGCTAATACTGTTACTTTAGCTCTTACAGAAGAGTTGGGCGACTGGCTGGGGCAGGTCTGACCTTATTGCATCTGGAAGCAGGGAGGGAAGACAGAAAAGCTCAGTATCAATTCTGTTCTCATTCTCAGAGCACCAATTCTCTGAAGGACACTGCAAAGGAAGTCCTGCTGTTTTACTCACTACTCTATCTTTGATGTTCTAGATTTAAGTTCACGTTTATTTCAGCCATTTAAACACTGTATAAATAACTGAATGAGGAATCCTGTGTTTATTCTGATCAGGAATTTTGTTCATAAGCTTTATTAAGATAATTCCTACAAATAAAGTCTATGGAGAGCCAAGTTTAGCTGGAGCTTAGTGGAAAATTATTCTCATCTCAAAAGTAGAGCAAAGGAGCTGACAGGCCTTAGCTCTAGTGAGACCCTCTGGCTAACTGAACTTGAGAAAACTTCACTGTCTGCATGTAGAACTCCCCTCATTCATGCCTACCCACGCCCTCAGGTTTTGCTGAGATCATGTTACTTACTGTCTATGAATAAGCCAGTTCTAGAAGACCTAAGACACACAGAAGACAAAAACAGGATATGAAGTCCTAGATATCTAGTGGGGTTGTTGAGGGTTAGGGGTAGAGGCCTCTTTCAGCTTGAGATTCCAAAGCAGATTCTGACACTTTTGTTAGACAAAGCTCTAGCAGCTCTAGGATCAGAAGGCACTGTAAGGAGATACTGAAAAACGGGGGTCAGGAAGACTTCTGGAACTTGTCCTGTACTCTCTGCTGCTGGCAGAATAACTAACTGTTGGGAAACTGTGGTCCTCTTAGCAAGTATAACCCTTACTTAAAGTGTCACCCTACTGCTTAGAGATGACTCCCCAACTCTTTGAAGTATTAACTTTTTTTTTTTTTTTTTTTTGGACAGGCAGAGTTAGACAGTGAGAGAGAAGAGACAGAGAACGGTCTTCCTTCCGTTGGTTCACCCCACAGATGGCTGCTACAGCCAGCGCGCCGTGCCAATCTGAAGCCAGCAGCCAGGTGCTTCCTCCTGGTCTTCCATGAGGGTGCAGGGCCCAAGCACCTGGGCCATCCTCCACTGCCTTCCCGGGCCACAGCAGAGAGCTGGACTGGAAGAGGAGCAACCGGGGCAGAATCCGGCACCCCAACGGGGACTAGAACCCTGAGTGCCGGCGCCGCAGGCTGAGGATTAGCCTAGTGAGCCATGGTGCAGGCCTTAAGTATTAACTTTTTTTTTTTTTTTTTTGACAGGCAGAGTGGATAGTGAGAGAGAGAGACAGAGAGAAAGGTCTTCCTTTTGCCGTTGGTTCACCCTCCAATGGCCGCCACGGCTAGTGCGCTGCGGCCAGCGCACCGTGCTGATCCGAAGGCAGGAGCCAGGTACTTCTCCTGGTCTCCCATGGGTGCAGGGCCCAAGCACTTGGGCCATCCTCCACTGCACTCCCTGGCCACAGCAGAGAGCTGGCCTGGAAGAGGGGCAACCAGGAAAGAATCCGGCACCCCGACCGGGACTAGAACCCGGTGTGCCGGCGCCGCTAGGTGGAGGATTAGCCTATTGAGCCGCAGTGCCGGCCAAGTATTAACTTTTAAAACTGTGCATCTAGTATTTCCTGCTCTGATTCTAGGGTTACCTGATAACCTTATGCTTATAATCCTCCTTCCCATTGCTCTTTGCCTAGACAAAGAAGTTATTGATCAGGCCAACCAGTTTGTTCTGGTATTGCAACATTTAGTTTTCTCAAGCACCATGTTGGAAAGAAGACAATCTTTAATTTGGCATTCTAATATAATTTTTTTTTTACTTTAGTACTTGAAGCATATATAAAATTAAATGAAAAAGGTTTTAATTATTTTAGTAAGGATTTGTATTATGAATTTCATAGATTTTTTTTACAAAGTTCATGGATAAGTGGGTTACTGCATTAGGATTTAATGTATCAATATCAATATTTCTCCTCTTGAGATGGGCATTTGATATAGAGTTTAGGGCACCCGTATCCCATATCGCAGTGCCTAGGTTAAAGTCCTGGCTCTGCTTCCAGGTCCAGCTTCCTGCTGATATGGTTCCTGAGAGGCAGCAGGTGATGGCCCAAATAATTGGGTCCCTGCCACCCATGTGAGAGATACACACTGAGTTCCAGAGTCCTAGCTTTGGCCTGACTCAGCCCTGGCCCCTGTAGGCATCTGGAGAGTGAACCAATGGATGGGAGCCCTCTCTCTCTCTCTCTGCCTCTGAAACAGATAAAATGAAATGATTTTTTTGAAAAAAGATTTATCTTCTAGCCTACTGTGACAAGATGCAAAAATACCAAACCATCAAAGCTGAGGCTCTTCAGAGACTGAGTTCCTAGAACTTCACCTAGACAATGCCACTATACAAGGCCCAAGTCATTGCTGAGCCAGGGGCATTCTGAGAGAGATCATGAGATCTCTCACCATGACTTACATGAAATCACATCAAAAAGTGTGGGAAAAACAGTTTTTGTTTAATTAGTCACCAGCTCATGGACACTTGGCTAGCTGCCATGAACATGCATGCACAAGTATTTATGTGGACACAGTTTCATTTCTCTTGGACAAACATTTATGGATCAAAAGGTTGATTTGTATGGCAAACATATATTAACTTTATAAGAAACTGCTGAAGTGTTTTCCAAAGTTGTTAAGTCATGTATGTTCTCATTGGTAATGTATGAAAGTTCTGGTTGCTCACATTCTTGCCAACACTTGGTATAGTAGGTCTTTAATTTCAGCCATTCTAGTGAGCATGAAGGATATTTGGTTTTGATTTTAATTTGTGTCTTTCTGATGACTAATGATGTGAAGATCATTTCATAGGCATTTTGTTCCTTCATACGGAAGGAACCTTCAAGAAAAGGTATGGAAAATAGGAATTAAAAGGTAATTAAGTTGTATAATAATATAACATTATGATATAACTAAATAATATACAAATAACTGAAAAATCCATGAACCTTTGAAGATTTCTATTTCATTTTTTGTGAAGCACATTAAAATGATTTTTAAAAAATCTGTCTTATTATTGGGATGTAAGAGTTCTCTGTGTGCTCTAAATGCGAGTTTACTATCAGATATAAGTCTTGTATTTTCTTTTTTTACGACCTGTGGCTTGCCTTTTTGTTTCATAATACTGTCTATTGACCTGCAGAAGGTACTCGTTATAAAAATAAAGCTTAATTTATCTATATTTTCTCTTACAGTTCATGCACTTTTTGTGTCCTATGGTTGCAGACACTTCTTACCATGCTTTCACTGAGACATTTTTTGAATTGCAGGTTTTGCATTTAGATCAGGATCTATTTTTAAGCATCTGTTTTGTATGCACTGGGGTAGGGGTTATGATTCATTCTTTTTCCATGGGGGCATTCAGTTGCTTAAAAGCAATTTGTTGAAAAGATTGCATTTTCCTCACTGAATTACCTTGGCAACTTTGTTAAAAACACACACACACGCACGCACAACTAATCATAAACCCATGTCTATTTTTCAATGATATGGCCTATTTCATTTAATATTTATTTATTTAAAGGCTATCACAGAAAACGAGAGAGAGAGAAAGAGAGAGAGAGAGAGAGAGAGAGAGAAATCTTCCATCCACTAGTTCGCTCCCCAGACAGCCTCAACAGCCAGGGCTAAGCCAGGCTGACTCAGGAACTAGGAGCTTCACCCAGGTCTCCCACATGACAGAAAAGGGGCCCAAGCACCTGGGCCACATTCTACTTCTTTTCAGTCCATTAGCAGAGAGCTGGATTGGAAGCGGAGTAGTCAGAACATGAACTGGGCCGGTGCCGTGGCTCAGTAGGCTAATCCTCTGCCTGTGGCGCCAGCACACTGGTTCTAGTCCCGGTTGGGGCGCCAGTTCTGTCCCGGTTGCCCCTCTTCCAGGCCAGCTCTCTGCTGTGGCCAGGGAGTACAGTGGAGGATGGCCCAAGTGCTTGGGCCCTGCACCCCATGGGAGACCAGGAGAAGCACCTGGCTCCTGCCTTTGGATAAGCGCAGTGTGCCAGCCGTGGCAGCCATTGGAGGGTGAACCAATGGCAAAAAGGAAGACCTTTCTCTTTGTCTCTCTCTCACTGTCCACTAAAAAAAAAAAAAAAAAAAAAAAAAATAGAACATGATCCAGACCCCATATGGGATGCCAGTGTTGCAGGGGGCAGCTTTACCTATTATGTTACAATGCTGGCCCCTGGTCTATTTTATTGATCTGTATGTTTATCCTTATACAAGTGTCATGGGGCTCTACTTCAGCTTTCTACAGTCTTGAAATTAGGTTAATATAGGTCCTCTATCTTCACTCTTTTTCAAAATAGTTTTGACCATATGTCAGTTCCTTTTTATTTTTATATTAATTTTGTATAATATATAACTTGAACGTTGATTGGGATTGCATTGAGTCTACAAGTTGTTTTGGGGAAAACTGACACCTTAAATATTTTGAACGTTCTAATTCACAGTATAGCTCTCAATTGTATTCAGTTCCAGCACAATGTTTTTCAGTTTCTTTAAGCTTTATTTAATTTCTCTCAGTGATATTTTGTAAGTTTCAACATACAGGTCTTGTGGCTTATTTTATTCAATTTAACCTTAGTATTTTGTAATTTGAGGTCCTATTTTAACTTATGTTATTTTTATTTCAATTACTTTTTTTTTTTTTTGGCCAGGCAGAGTTAGACAGCGAGAGAGAGACAGAGAGAAAGGTCTTCCTTCTGTTGGTTCATTCTCCTAATGGCCACTATAGCCGGCGCTGCACTGATCTGAAGCCAGGAGCCAGGTACTTCCTCCCGGTCTCCCACACAGGTACAGGGACCTAAGTACTTGGGCCATACTCTGCTGCCTTCCTGGGCCATAGCAGAGAGCTGGACTGGAAGAGGAGTAGCCAG